TCTCCCTCTCCTTTCCTTTCTGAAATCAATAAAAATAAAAATGAAAAACACACTTTATTCCTTGCAATTTATACTTCTTTTTTAAAAAAATATATTTTATTGATTTTTGTACAGAGAGGAAGGAAGAGAGTTAGAAACATCAATGAGAGAGAGTTAGAAACATCGATGGATCAGCTGCCTCTTGCACACCCTCTACTGGGGATATGCCCGCAACCAAGGTACATGCCCTTGACCGGAATCGAACACGGGGCCCTTCAGTCCCCAAGCCGATGCTCTATCAATTGACCCAAACCGGTCCCGGCTATACTTGTTTGACTCTTTCCTCAATCTCAGCCCCTTCCCCAAGCCTTGTTTGTTTGTTTGTTTATTTATTTAATATATTTTATTGATTTTTTTACAGAGAGGAAGAGAGAGGGATAGAGAGTTAGAAACATCGATGAGAGAGAAACATCTACCGGCTGCCTCCTGCACACACCCCACTGGGGATGTGCCCACAACCAAGGTACTTGCCCTTGACCAGAATCAAACTTGGAACCCTTCAGTCCACAGACCGACACTCTATCCACTGAGCTAAACCGGTTTTGGCTCCCCAGTCCTTCTTGCATTCTCCTGAATTTGCTATTTTTCACTCCTATGACTTTACATTTATTTACACTTTCTTTCTATATTTATATGCAAATATTGAGATGGATCCCTAGGTAATGTACAATATTGATTTGCATAAGCTTGTTTAAACTGTCTACAAATGGGTATCAAGGCAAGTATTTTATATTTTCCCTCCTCAATACTATATTTGGGAAAGACATCCATATTCAATGTAGTTGTCCTTCATTCATTTCTGTGTTTTAATATTCACTATATAATCACACCAGAATTTACCTGTTTTGTTTTTAAATATATTTTTGTTGATTTCAGAGAGGAAGAGAGAGGGAGAGAGAGAAACATCAATGATGAGAGAGAATCATTGCTTGGCTAACTCCTGCACGCCCACTACTGGGGATCGAGCCCACAACTCTGGGCATGTGCCCTTGACCGTAATCAAACCTGGGACCTTTTGGTCTGCAGGCTGACGCTCTACCCACTGAGCCAAACCAGCTAGGTATTACCTGTTTTTCTGATGATGGCTATTTAGATCACTCCTGGTTTTTGCTGTCACAGGAATTTCTGCAATGAAATACTATGTCTGCCTGTGTGCATGTGTAGGAGTCTCTGGGTATGTACACCTAAGAATGGAATTCTGAAGTCATAGGTTAAGCGCAAGCTTAACTAGATATTTTCAAGTTATTCTCCCAAGTGGTTGTACTGGTTTCCATTCTCACAGTAGGAATTCCCTTCACTATTCTTCCTTGCCAACTCTTTATTTCATCAGACTTTAAAATGTTTCTAATCTGCCGAAACCAGTGTGGCTCAGTGGATAGAGCATCGGCCTGCGGAATGAAAGGTCCCAGGTTTGATTCTGGTCAAGGGCATGTACCTTGGTGGCGGGCACATCCCCAGGTAGGGGATGTGCAAGAGGCAGCTGATCGATGTTTCTCTCTCATTGATGTTTCTAACTCTCTATCCCTCTCTTTTCCTCTTTGTAAAAAAATCAATAAAATATGTTTAAATAAAAATCAATAAAATGTTTCTAATCTGGGGATGGAGCCCACAACCTGGGCATGTGCCCTTGGTGGGAATGGAACCTGGGACCCTTCAGTCCATAAGCTGTCACTCTATCCACTGAGCCAAACCAGGTAAGGCAGGATCTCTTTTGGATCTCTGTAACCCTTTCTACATCTTGTATTACACTTAACTTTAATTTTTTTATTTTTAAAAATATATATTTTATGGATTTTTCACAGAGAGTAAGGAAGAGGGAGAGAGAGTCAGAAACATCAATGAGAGAGAATCATCGATCAGCTGCCTCCTGCACACCCCCTCCTGGGGATGTGTCCGAAACCAAGGTACATGCCCTTGACCGGAATTGAACCTGGGACCTTTCAGTCCGCAGGCCTACACTCTATCCACTGAGCCGAACCGGTTTCGGCTACACTTACTTTTCATTTTCATCTTGTAAAGTCATTCGTGTCCTTGTCTAAAGGGCAGGGACTATGTTTAACTCAACTTTATGCCCTTGTTCGTACCTAGTGCAAAGCAAACATTTCATACATTTTTGTTGAGTCAAATTATATCCCTCCCTGCTTTTAAAAACTTAGCTTCCAATGAGAAGAGAGTTGAATGTCCTCCATGTAGAATTTAAGACCCTGACAGGGGCTCTGGCGTCGACTTTCCTTTCCTGCTTCTTCTCCCGGTATGACCCTGCCTTCTGCCCCAGATACTAGGTTCTCGGTCCACAATGAGGTCCCAGTCTGCAAATGTTTGGCTTCTCTGCCTGCGGCCAGGACGGCAGGTCCATCCCACCTGCTGCCGCTGCCCATCAGATTCTTTCGGAGACAATTCTAGGGACCCAGAAGCCAGAAGCCGGCTGTTACTACCAAGCATGGCTTTTGCTCTGAATCTGTCATCTGTGTGCTAAGTGCAGGTTAGCTACTGTGGCTAGTGACCCTCTCTCTTTTTAAATATATTTTATTGATTTTTTACAGAGAGGAAGGGAGAGGAGAGAGAGTTAGAAACATCAATGAGAGAGAAACATCCATCAGCTGCCTCCTGCACACCCTCAACTGGGAATGTGCCTGCAACCAAGGTACATGCCCTTGACCGGAATCGAACCCGGGACCCTTCAATCTGCAGGCCGACGCTCTATCCACCGAGCCAAACCGGCCAGGGCTAACCATGTCTCTTGATGGGTCCTTATAGTTATCCTTTGTCATCAGCCTTGAGTCTGCAGCAGTGTCTTGTGGCCCATTCTAACCCCAGCCCGGAAACCAAAGCCCCAGCTTCATTCTGGGCTGACTTCCTGGCTTCCTCCCACAACTTCTAAGTGTCTGCTGTCAGTTGTCTTTAGACCAGGACACGGGTGTTCATACATGTTTGCTGAAGGGTTTTCACAGAGTCCATCTGGCATGTACCGGAAGTGAATGAACACCTTCTCAGGGATAGTCTATCTATAAAGTGGGATGTGATGTTAGTGACAGGCCAGAGATTTTAGGATCAGAAAGACCCGCTCTGATTCCTAACTCTAAATCTTAGGACTTGAGCAAAATAACAAATCTCTGTGTGCTTGTTTCCTCAGTTATAAAATGGGTCCTATGGCCCTAACCAGTTTGGCTCAGTGGATAGAGCGTCAGTCTGTGGACAGGAGGGTCCCAGGTTCGATTCCGGTCAAGGGCATATATCTTGGTTGCAGGCACATCCCCAGTAAGGAGTGTGCAGGAGGCAACTGATCGATGTTTCTAACTCTCTATCCCTCTCCCTTTCCTTCTCCCTTCCTCTCTGTAAAACAACAATAAAAAATAAAAATAAAGAAATAATAAAATGGGTCCTATGGAAGAGGGCTGAGAACAGAAATCCGTCGAATAACAATTATTTTAAGGGCAGCGCACAAGCTGCAAGGGAAATTAGCCCTCCCTAAAAGGGGCAAAAGTTACTTAAAAAGACGAACTTGCAAAAATCAGTGGCAGGGGATGTAAGTAAGGGAAGTAAGTATGGATAAGTACAGCTCTCCTGCTTTATTTATTTATTTATTTTTATATACCGGTATACATTTTATTGATTTTTTTACAGAGAGGAAGGGAGAAAGATAGCCAGAAACGTCAATGAGAGGTGAGAGAGAAACATCGACCAGTTGCCTCCCGCACACCCCCTACCAGGGATGTGCCCGCAACTAAGGTACATGCCCTTGACCAGAATGGAACCTGGGACCTGTTTCAGTCCGTAGACCGCCGCTCTACCGCTGAGCCAAACCGGTTTCGGCAGCTCTCCTGCTTTAGCATCCACTTCTCAAACATTAGGTCAAGCAGTTCAAACCTGGTGACTAACGGGGAATCTAGGGAAGAACTGAGGCCAGACTGCCAGACGCTGCGGTCCTTCCCTGCGTCCAATACGAACGCCCTGGGCCACTGCAAAGGGCGCCATCCTCAGGGGCCTTTATTGCAGAGTTTGGCTCCGCAGGCAGGCCTCCCCCAGCCCCGCAAGGCATGGAGCCCACCTTTTCTATTTTTTAAAAAAATATATTTTACTGATTTTTTACAGAGAGAAAGAGAGAGGGATAGAAAGTTAGAAATATCGATGAGAGAGAATCATCAATCAGCTGCCTCTTGCACCTCCTGCTGGGGGTGTGTCCGCAACCAAGGTACATGCCCTTGACCGGAATCGAACCCTGGACCCTTCAGTCCGCAGGCTGACGCTCCATCCACTGAGCCAAACCGGTTTTGGCCCACCTTTTCTATTTCAAGCCACCGCCAAAGGCATCCGTTTTGTCCGAGATGCGGATGAGATGCCGGGCTTCGGGGCGGGCGGAGTCGGGCTTTCCGGAGCGAGCCGAACTGGTCGCAGCCTGTCTGGCGGGAGGGCTGTGCCCACTTTCTTCCGCCTCTCGCCCGCCCCTTAGAGGGCGCGGGGCGGGGTATGGGCGGAGCTGGGGGCGGGGCAGCCTGTGAGTGCCCCGCCCACTTCCGCCTGCTGCCGCCTGCGCGGCATGGGTGCGGCTGCTGGGGCGGGGCCTCCGGGGCGGGAGATGTGGGCGGGGCCTCGGGGACCAGGGCGGGGCCCGAGGGCGGGGCCGGTGAAATAGGCCGGGCCTCAGGACCAGGGCGGGAGATGTGGGCGGGCCTTGGGGATCGGGGCGGGGCCTGAGGGCGGGGCCAGAGGTGTGGGGCGGGGCCTCAGGACCAGGGCGGGAGATGTGGGCGGGGCCTCGGGGACCAGGGCTGGGTGTGAGGGCGGGGCCCCGAGGACCAGGGCTGGGTTTGAGGGCGGGGCCGGAGATGTGGGCGGGGCCTAGGGGCCGGGGCGGGGCCTGAGGGCAGGGCAGCCCGCGCACTGTGCAGGAGCTGCCGCCACCGCCGCCCGCGCCTCTAAGGTCTCACCGCTTCCTCAGCAGAGACCTGGGCTCGGCCGCCATGTCCGCCACCGAGGAGGTTGACGGGCTGAGCGTGTTCCGGCCGCACTATGGCTGTGAGTGCGGGGCTTCGTGTGCGGGGGGGATTGGGGCTGGCTCTCTGCCCCTCAGGCGCCGTTTTCCCGGGGGGCTCGGCCAGGCGGGTGGGGCAGGGCGGCTGCGGGCCCGCGCGGACCCGGAAGAGCCGGAGCGGTGGGCGGGAGGGGTGCGGGCGGCGAGGCCCCTCGGTCTCTGAGGCGGCGGCGGGGATTAGGGGGGACACCCACCCCCTTCCCAGGCAGGTTCCACGCCGTACCCCGCACCCTGCGGCCGGAGGGCCTCCCCCCGCCCCGCCCGGCCCCCCGCGCGGCCGAGATTGAGGGGCCGCCCGGGCGGGGTGAGGTGGCAGGAGGACCGCGCAGGGCGTGTCCCGGGCACCGGAGCCCGGGCTCCGCTGCTTCTTCCCGGGGAGCCGCTGCCCTCGTGCTGCCTGCGGGCGAGGGGGCACCCCGCGTCCAGACCTGCCCGGTCCTCCCGGGAGGGCGAGCCGAGAGGTGCGGCCCTGGCTGGGCGAGTCACTTCAGCTTTTCCACCCCCCGGCTGGGTTCCCTCCGTCAGGATTTCAAAAGCAATAAAACGAGAAAACCCTCTTGACTTCCTCATTTTTTTCTGTCCCTGGGACGTCATTGCACCGCAGGCGGGATAGTTCCCCCTGGCCGGGGGGGGAAAGTCCTGCGGAGTCTGGAGGTTTTTCGATTTTATTTTATTTATTTTTATTTAAAAATATATATTTTTATTGATTTTTTTTTTTTACAGAGAGGAAAGGAGAGGGATAGAGAGTCAGAAACATCAATGAGAGAGAAACATCCATCAGCTGCCTCCTGCACACCCCCCATTGGGGATGTGCCCACAACCAAGGCACATGCCCTTGACCGGAATCGAACCCCGGGACCCCTCAGTCCGCAGGCTGACGCTCTATCCACTGAGCCACACAGGTTTCGGCTCGATTTTATTTTTTTATGCTCTGGGAGTAAGGTTGAGTTTGTGTTTTTTAAAAAGATAATTTCACGCATCCACAGTGAAGTGTGAGGCATGGTGTCAGGTTTGGGACATGAAAAAGCTGAGACCCAGTCCCTGCCTGCAGAGAACATTGGAATCAGAGAGGCAGACTGGTGTCCTTCCCACTAATAATTAATAATAAGGGGTCATAAAGATAAAAAGGTGCGTGGAAAAGAAAACTCAGCATACAGAGGAGCCTGGCTGAGGATCCGCCTGGGGAAGTGGGGGTGGGGTGGGGCGGGCACAGGCCGTGACATTTGAACAGAGCAGCCTGCTGGCAGGTTGGATGGGGCAATAGACCTGGTCGCTGCTTGAAGTGGGAAGAGCATAAATTAAGATTCAGAACAGCAGGAAGGCACTGGGAATTAGGGTGTGGAGTGCACAATGGGGGGGGGGGGCGGAGAGGGCAGGGAGAGGGGAGAAAGAGTTTCCAAAAGCAGTGGGGGCTAAATCGGGAAAGGCCTTGAATGCCACCCTCCGAGGAGTTAGGAATTTATTCCATACCCTGGGTGCCCAAGCAAGAGGCAGATTGCTTGGAGGTGAAGTGCGCGCGCATACACACACACACACACACACACACACGGGCTTTTTAAAAAATATATATATTTTATTGATTTTTCACAGAGAGGAAGAGAGGGATAGAGAGTTAGAAACATCGATGAGAGTGAATCATCGATCAGCTGCCTCTTGCACACCCCCCACTGGGGATGTGCCCGCAACCAAGGTACATGCCCTTGACCAGAATCAAACCTGGGACCTTTCAGTCCGCAGGCCGATGCTCTGTCCACTGAGCCACACCGGTTTTGGCCACATGGGCTTTTGAGATAGACTTGCCCAGGTTTGAATTCAGGCCCCCCTCCCACCGCTTGTTAGCCTCGGGGCAGAGATCACCCTGCCTCAGTTTTCCTCATCTGTGAAATGGGCGCGATGATCGCAGGCTTGCTGAGGGGCTTCAGTGAGAGACTGCATGTAAAATAACTCAGCACAATGACACCCGGCTTTCATTCTCAGTGACTGGACTGCTGGCTTGGATTATTCATGAAAGAGGGAAATGACATTTTCAGCTCTGTTTAAGAAAAAGTCTGGCAGATGGACAAGGACAGACTTGGCCCCAAATGTCAACTTACTATTTTTCAAGTTATGCTAAACTATTGTACATATTCTTATTATCATACTTTAAAAATATTTTATTGATTTTTTTTTTTTACAGAGAGGAAGGGAGAGAGAGAGAGAGAGAGTTATAAACATTGACCAGCTGTCTCCTGCACACCCCCCACTGGGGATGTGCCCACAACCAAGGTACATGCCCTTGATCGGAATCAAACCCGGGACCTACTGAGTCACACCGGTTTTGGCTATTATCATACCCTTTTTTTTTTTTTTTTTTAAGGGTAAGATAGGTATAGTTGAAACCCCCTAGTTCCTGTTTTGAGAAAGTCATTGTAGCCGAAACCGGTGTGGCTCAGTGGATAGAGCGTCAGCCTGCGGACTGAAGGGTCCCGGGTTCGATTATAGTCAAGGGCATGTACCTTGGTTGTGGGCACATCCCCAGTAGGGGGTGTGCAAGAGGCAGCTGATGAATGATTCTCATCGATGTTTCTAACTCTCTATCCCTCTCTCATCCTCTCTGTAAAAAAATCAATAAAATATATTAAAAAAAGAAAAAGGAAAAAAAGAAAGTAATTCTAGTCCACCTGCCTGTCCCCGACATCCCCGGGTTATCCTGACCGAATGGCTAGCAGGAATGTGATGATGTGGCGTTCCTTTATCGCTCAGAAAGGTTACGGATTCTTTTGTTCTCATTCTTTCATGTCTTAGCCGTCCTGGATAACGAGAGACTCACCGCGGAGGAGATGGACGAGAGGCGGCGTCAGAACGTGGCTTATGAATACCTCTGTCATTTGGAAGAAGCCAAGAGGTAAAGACCGGCTGGCTGGATAAAAAGATCGGGAGAAGGGAGCTGATAGCATGTAATGCAGATAAAAGGCTCTTTCCGTGTCCTGTAGCTCTGTCTGAGCGAGGCTGGTCGTGTGAAGGAATAAGTATAGCCGAAACCGGTGTCGCTCAGTGGTTAGAGCATCGGCCTGCGGACTGAAGGGTCCGAGGTTTGATTCCGGTCAAGGGCATGTACCTTGGTTGCGGGCACATCCCCAGTATGGGGTGTGCAGGAGGCAGCTGGTCGATATTTCTCTCTCATCGACGTTTCTAACTCTCTATCCCTTTCCCTTACTCTCTGTGGGAAATCAATAAAATATATTAAAAAAGGAAAGAAAGAAAGAAAAAGAAAGAAAGAAAGAAAGAAGGAATAAGTATACTTAGGGGATTTATTATGGGAGCAGGTGACTTTGGCGGTAGTTGATTCATGAAACATTGATGGACATTTGAAAAAAAAATTGAAATCCTTTATTGTTGAAGTATTACACAGGGTGGACGTTTTTGTTTACTGAAAAATGCCCGGATTTGTGCTGTTCTGATTTATGCCTACGGTGCCTGATAGAGGCACTCCCGGCTCCGGGGGAAGATAGAGCATTTTTAGGATTTGAAGTTCTTGGGCTTTCACGTTTCATCCGTTCTTCATGCCTTTTGATTTATCTGTGAGTTGGGTTCCTTCTCTCCTTGAACCAATGCAACCCTCAGAGGCAGCGGCTTCTGCATTCTTTAAAAAAAAAAAAAAAAAAAAATATATATATATATATATATATATATTTTATTGATTTTCCACAGAGAGGAAGGGAGAGGGATAGTCAGAAACATCGATGAGAGAGAAACATCGATCCGCTGCTTCCTGCATGCCCCCCACTGGGGATGTGCTCGCAACCAAGGTACATGCCCTTGATCGGAATCGAACCTGGGACCCTTGAGTCTGCAGGCCGATGCTCTATCCACTGTGCCACACCAGCTAGGGCGGCCTCTGCATTCTTTGTGAAGTGAATGTATAGCTGCTCTTTAGCTCCATCGGACGCCCGAGGCCTTTTGTCTTAGAGTCTCCATTTGCTCTCCGTGGCTCATTCCTTTTGTTCCGGGCCGTGTGCCTCTGAATGTCCCGGGGCAGATACCGTAGATGTAATGACAGATCAGGTGTCCTATACGCGAGCTTTAGCGGAAAAGGCCAGCAAGGGAGAATGACAGGCATTCGTGATCCATAGGCTGATGAAAATCATGGATGTTTTAAATGTGACTAATAAATAGATGTTTTTTGTTTTTGTTTTTGTTTTTGGTTTTAATTCTGAAAGTATAAAAAACACTACAGGAAAGTCCAAGGACAACACCGCACACATACATGCATTTCAGAAGGAACACATGTTAGCCCTTCAGATCTTTCTCTTTCCTCTCCAAAAGACCCCGTCGCCCTAACCGGTGTGGCTCAGTGGATAGAGCGTCAGCCTGTGGACTAAAGGGTCTCAGGTTCCCATTCTAGTCAAGGGCATGTACCTTGGTTGCGGGCACATCCTCAGTAGGAGGTGTGCAGGAGGCAGCTGATGGATGTTGCTCTCTCATTGATGTTTCTAACTCTCTATCCCTCTCCCTTCTTCTCTGTAAAAAATCAATTAAAAATATATTAAAAAAGAAAATAAAAGACCCCCCGGAGTTCCCTTTGTGCCCCTTTCCTATTCCCCTTCGTGCTGTCCCCAGTGCTACCACTAGCATGCATTTGGTGTATCCTCTTTTTTTAAAAAAAATATATACTTTATTGATTTCTCACAGAGAGGAAGGGAGAGGGATAGAGAGGTTAGAAACATCAATGAGAGAGAATCATCGATCAGCTGCCTCCTGCACGTCCCCCACCGGGGATGTGCCCACAACCAAGGTACATGCCCTTGACTGGAATCGAACCTGGGACCTTTCAGTCCACAGGTCGACGCTCTATCCACTGAGCCAAATCGGTTTTGGCTGGTGTATGCTCTTGAATCCAGGCTTTTTCCCCCCGGATCTTGAAGCTCTCCCAGGAGACTGTGGGATTAGTGATGATTTAGGTGGCAAGAATTGTTTTTCTAAATGGAAGGTTAGACGCCAGGCGAGTATGTTATTATACAAGGGGCTGGTTTCCCATACACAGTTGGTAAGGGCTTCTGGAATAAGAGGGTGCAGTCCTCTGTGCCTCCAGAGGCAAATGACAACTAGTCCACAACTAGTTAAGTCTAGTTGTGGACTAGATCTGGCTGTGGAAGGTCAGAGAGTTCGGAGGCTGCAGCTGGTTGGGGAGACCAGGCTGTGGTCCGGGAAGCCTTGCTGAGTCTATTGAGATGAGCTGGGGACAGACAGGGAGAGTGAGCCTCAACTCACCTTCCTTCCCGCATCCAAAGCTGTTCTGTTTCTTATTTTATTTTTATTTTTTAAAAATATTTTGTATTGATTTTTTTACAGAGAGGAAGGGAGAGGGATAGAGAGTTAGAAACATCAGTGAGAGAGAATCATCAATCAGCTGCCTCTTGCACACCCCTGACTGGGGATGTGCCTTCAACCAAGGTACATGCCCTTGACTGGAATCGAACCTGGGACCCTTGAATCCGCAGGCCGACGCTCTATCCACTGAGCCAAACCAGTTAGGGCTATTTTTATTTTTTTTAAAGTATATTTTTGCTGATTTCAGAGAGGAAGGGAGAGGGAGAGAAATAGAAACATCAATGATGAGAGAGAATCATTGATTAGCTGCCTCCTGCACGCCCCCCACTGGGGATGGAGCCCACAATCCAGGCATGTGCTCTTGACTGGAATCAAACAAGGGACCCTTCACTCTGAAGGCCGATGCTCCACCCACTGAACTAAACCAGCTGGGGCTGTTTTATTTTGTAGTGTATTGATTTTTTGAGACAGACAGACAGACAGACATTGATTTGCTTTCCACTTATTTATGCATTCATTGGTTGATTCTTGTCCTGATCGGGGGTTGAATGAAACCTGCAACCTTGGTGCATTATTGGACAACGCCCTAACCAACTGACTTACTGCCCAGGGCTCTGATTTTGCTTTAATATTGGGTTTGGCAGTAAAATTTCCTTGTTACACGGGGTGTCTTGGCTGACACCCCCTCGCCACCACTAATCCAGCTCAGCCATCACATTTCAATGAGGAAACTGAGGCTAGAGTTTTCGTGGTCTATGCGTTGTTTTCTTGGTTGAAGAATAATTGTCATCGTTTTGTAGAGTGGTTCCTAACTAGGTGTGGGCATTAGAATCGTCTAGGAAACTTTCCCCCAAAATGCAGGTATTTTGGTTCAGTAGATGTGGGCCGGGCGGTCCAGACACCTGTATATTGTAAACGGCTTCTAGCCGTTCTGATGGTCCGCCCCCCTTTGCTGAGAAGCAAGATTTAAAATGTTTTTAGAAGTCTGTTTGCCTGGTTGTTGTGGCTCAGTGGTTGAGCATCGACTTATAAACCAAGAGATCATGGTTCGATTCCCGGTCAGGGCACATGCCGGGTTGTGGGCTCGATCCCCAGTAGGGGGCATGCAGGAGGCAGCTGAAGAATGATTCTCTCGCATCATTGTTTCTCTCTAGCCCTTTCCTTCCCTCTCTGAAATCAATAAAATATATATATTTAAAGTCTGCCTAGGCTGGGATATCATTGCCTAAATAGAATGATGCTTTTATAATCACATTTCTTTCTTCAGTTGCTGCCTTAGCAAGGTATTTCATTTGTAAGGTGTTTTTTTCCAGCATAAGAAGATAGCCCATTTTCTTTAAAATCCCTCCAGGGGGCCATGATCACCTGGGGTGTTTTTCTATTTGGGTGTTTTTGCATAGTTAGTGAGACATTTGTGATCGTCTGTATTTTTTTTTTTTTTTTTTATGCTTTGCCTATACGAGAGAACATAATCATGGCAATTACTTGCCCTGGTACACGCTGCCTGCTGACCAGGCATTGTGGAAATGTGCTTGGTTTATTTAATTAAAAAGCACTCTTTTTATTAATTTCAGAGAGGAAAGGAGAGGGGGAGAGAGAGATAGAAGGAGCAATGATGAGAATCACTGATCGGCTGCAAACCCCTCCTGCAAGCCCCCTCCTGGGGATGGAGCCCTGAACCTGGGCCTGTGCCCTGACTGGGATAGAACCCTGACCTCCTGGTTCCTAGGTCCATGCTCAACCACTGAGCCACACCGGCTGGGCGTGCTTGGTTGTTTTTTTTTTTTTTTTTTTTTTTTTTTTTCATTTTTATGGAGGCTATCATATAAAATCTGGAATGTCCTGCTGAGAAAAGAGAACTGGATCCCCACCGGCTGGCACCTGCTGTGTTTGAGGTGCACAGCAGGCAGGTCACATGCTCTTCCTTATGAGCTTGGAATTTCAGCTCCAGTTGTGTCTCTTTTATTTATTTATTAGAGGCCGGTGCATGAAATTCGTGCAAGAATAGGCCTTCCTTCCCCCCGACTGCCGGCACCGGCTTCCCTCTGCCACCCGGGACTTGGGGTTTCCTCACAGCCCCGGCTTCGTCCAGAAGGATGGAAGGACATCTGGTTTAATGAGCATATTATGCTTTTATTATTATAAATTTATCTATTTTTAAAAGTGATTTTAGAGTTAGAAAGATCGATGAGAGAGAATCATTGATTGGCTGCCTCCTGCAATGGCCACTACTGAAGGGAGGGGAAAGAAATCGAGCCCACACGCCAGGCGTGTGCCCTTGGCCGGAATCGAACCCGGGACCCTTTAGTCTGCAGGCCAACGCGCTATCCACTGAGCGACACCGCCCAGGGCCCAGTTGTGTCTCTTAATCTGGAGAGCTGGGCTGCCCCCTTCTGTGCTGCTGGGGGGCCCCTCTTTCCCCCTCTAGCACCAACCCCCGTGCACTTTTTTTTTGGAGTTGGCCCCATCCTGTTTTCTTTGTAACCTTCACTCTCCTCCCAAACTGGAAGAGCCGCCAGGGTCTGGAATTTACACCGGCTCCAGGGCCAGGAAGAAAGATCAGAGAGATCCCGG